CGGGGAGAGCGGGAAGGAGGGGGAGAAGAAGAACGGCAAGTACGAGAAGCCGCCGTTCAGCTACAACGCGCTCATCATGATGGCCATCCGGCAGAGCCCCGAGAAGCGCCTCACGCTCAACGGCATCTACGAGTTCATCATGAAGAACTTCCCCTACTACCGGGAGAACAAGCAGGGCTGGCAGAACTCCATTCGCCACAACCTCTCCCTCAATAAGTGCTTCGTCAAGGTGCCCCGCCACTACGACGACCCGGGCAAAGGGAACTACTGGATGCTGGACCCCTCCAGCGACGACGTCTTCATCGGGGGCACCACCGGCAAGCTCCGCCGGCGCTCCACCACCTCCCGGGCCAAGCTGGCCTTCAAGCGGGGCGCCCGGCTCACCTCCACCGGACTGACATTCATGGATAGGGCAGGATCCTTGTACTGGCCTATGTCCCCCTTCCTCTCCCTGCACCACCCCCGGGCCAGCAGCACTTTGAGTTACAATGGGACCACGTCCGCCTACCCCAGCCACCCCATGCCCTACAGCTCAGTGTTGACTCAAAACTCCTTGGGAAACAACCACTCCTTTTCCACGTCTAATGGGTTAAGTGTTGATAGACTAGTCAATGGAGAGATACCTTATGCCACTCATCACCTCACAGCAGCAGCTCTGGCCGCCTCAGTGCCGTGTGGCTTGTCAGTTCCCTGCTCCGGCACCTATTCCCTAAACCCCTGCTCTGTAAACCTCCTAGCAGGACAGACGAGTTACTTTTTCCCCCATGTTCCTCACCCTTCAATGACTTCTCAAAGCAGCACTTCAATGACGGCCAGGGCAGCCTCCTCCTCCACGTCGCCACAGGCGCCCTCCACTCTCCCCTGTGAGTCCTTAAGACCTTCTTTGCCAAGTTTTACAACGGGACTTTCCGGAGGACTTTCTGATTATTTCACACATCAAAATCAGGGGTCTTCTTCAAACCCTTTAATACATTAACATCCATGGGATCAGACTGTAAGTGAACATTTTACACACGTTTGCATTGTAAATGATGATTAAAAGAAAAAAAAAAGCAAAACAAAAAAGTCCAGGTATTTTTTATTAAGTTCCCCCATTTTCTGTACGTTTGTTCAGTCTTTAGGGTTGTTTATTATTCCACCAAGGTGAGGAGTGTCAGCAAGGTGCAATGTGGGGAGATTACATTGTAGACTATGAAGTTTGGAAGACAAAATTATAGTAGAATGTGTATCTAGTGACTGCTTTTGCAATTTTTTATTCAAATACGATAAGTCTATCACTAAAAGCCGCCAGATTCTCCATGTTTGCAGTATTATAAGTTATCATGGATATGTCGGTGGGTGCAGACCTTGAAAGAAAAAAAAAACCACCACTAAATTTATGAAAGCTATAAAAAACTTAAAACGTAATTTGTATTTAAGCAGAATTAATGCTGAAAGATGCCCAAGAACTACATTTTGGCCATTTATTATTTTATCCTTTTCTTTACTGAACTGCTTTTTTGGGTTCCTTTTTTTTTTGTTTGTTTGTTTGTTTGTTTACTTTTAGACCAAAGATTGGGTTTTAGAAAATGCACTCAGTGTACGGAGTAATTTAAAAAACAGCAACATTGTTTCAGTTTGCAGCACTGCCCGTTCAAATGAATCAGAAGGGGACAAAATTAATGATTGCCTTCAGTTTGTGTTGTGTATATTTTGATGTATGTGGTCACTAACAGGTCACCTTTATTTTTTTTCTAAATGTAGTGAAATGTTAATACCTATTGTACTTATAGGTAAACCTTGCAAATATGTAACCTGTGTTGCGCAAATGCCGCATAAATTTGAGTGATTGTTAATGTCGTCTTAAAATTTCTTGATTGTGATACTGTGGTCATATGCCCGTGTTTGTCACTTACAAAAATGTTTACTATGAACACACAGAAATAAAAAAAAAATAGGCTAAATTCATATATACTTGATAGTTTTTTTGTCTCTTTTATTAACTAAAATTAATATGCCAGAGGCTTTAAAGTTACAGGGAGATCAGAGCGCTGCTTATTACAGCAGTCCACTATTTTTCACATGCTCCTTTCTCTTCCCCCCCCCTCCCGC